CATTCAAAGTAACGAAACGAATGGTAACAGTAACAAAACAGCGTCCGAGAACGACTACAAAAAGTGCAAAGAAAACTCTTAAAAACGTTCAAAAAACACCATCAAAAGTATTAAAGAAAGTTGCGAAAGATAAAGGAGAAAAACAGGTGGTTGCCGTTTATGCGGATATAGATCACAGTCAGTCAGAACAAAAGAAGGACAACTTAATCATTGTGGGTGGAAATAATTGGATGATTGGAATAAAACAGCAAAAGGTAGTTGATGACAGTGAAAAAAATCTTGAAGAAATCGAAGAAAACCAACTTGTATACGAAGTAAACAACCTGATATCACTTCCATTTAATGACAATGACATACCGATCGTTGAAGAAGAAGATTTACCTTCGATTTATTCGTACGACAATCAAACACGAGCAAGTTCTCCTGAAGATCATTTTGCAATATCGCAAACAACGGCTCAAACGATTGATGAAACTCATGAGTGCGAAGTGCCAGATGAAGTGAACAAAAATTCAATATCAAGAGAGATTGTGAACATACCGCCTGTATGTACAAGTTTCATAATAGTGTGAAATTTTTCATGAAATAATTTTCTTGTGTAACGACTGACACTCAACGGAACATTTCATCAAAGCCTTCCCCAGATTACTAGATCACCCTAAATAAAAGATCAGTTTGGAGCAACATTTTTACGAAATCGTCCTATAGTACGAGTTTTTAGAAAGAAAACGTTCGGTGTGCGAAACCATCCGTGTCCTTTTATCCTAGAAAGGGTTACTCACGAATTAGTTTCAATTTTTATATTTTAGTCAGAACAAAGACGATCAAGCATTGAATCCATTCAGTCAATCGAATTTAATCCTGTTATACAAGAAGCTATAGAGAAGACGGCAATCCAAATTCATAATTCAATTCGAAAAACATTCCTAAAGTCAAATGAACCTTTGAATTCAGATATTCGAACTGTTTATGAAAATGTACAAGATTCTGTGAAAAAAGGCACTTCATTACGACCTCTATCTAAAGTAGAGCCATCACATATTGAAATACCAAATGAACCTACAACTGATCATATCCAATCTGAAATGCGTTACAATAGCAATCTTAACAATGCTACGTCATCATTGGCTGCATCACTCAGTTATACACGAACGACAGATACTAACCAAAGTCTATCATTTCGTCCGGGTATCCGTGTCGTAGGCGATTCATTAAACAGTCGAGGTTCATTTAGAAATATAAACTTGAATTATTGTTGAAAATAATTTTCTTTCATTTAGGAGGAAGTGAAACAATGAGTTCAAATAGTAGCAATGAAGATCATGATTACAGTGCAACTCTGCTTCAAGATAATGATACAGATGAAATATACCGAATGGCGAAGAAAGGAAAGACTGTTGGACACGGTGCCTACGGAACAGTTTGGTATGTACATTCATGCGCTATAAAAAAGAGAATTTTAGTTGATAAGCAGATGCTGAAATTTCCATCTTATTTGTATTCTCATATAGGTCATATTTGACATTAACCGGACGAATGATTGCCGTCAAAGAAATTGAACTTGATGAAAGCAATAGTGAACGTGTAAGAGAAGATTACGAATCAGTTCGAGAAGAAGTGAATATTTTACGTGGTCTTGATCATCCATATATTGTCAAGTAAGTCATTAGCCGTGTATACGCCTCCCATATTTTAATGATATTATTGATCTATTTAGATTTTTGGGAATATCACTCGAAGAAACTCATTTGGTGAAGATCTTCATGGTAAGTGTAGTAGAAATGAAAAACATAACATTTGGTTGAATACTTTAATAAACTGTATATTAGGAGTATCTTCCGAATGGAACAATCGAACATCTTCTACAATTGTTCGGTCCATTTCACGTTGATGTTCTTAAAAAATACACTCGCCAGATCGTCGAAGGTGTTGCCTATTTGCATGAAAACAATGTTGTGCACAGGTAAGGTATACGCTTCATCTACTACTAATCGATTCATTCTGCCAATTGCCTACAGAGACATCAAAGGCAAAAATATAATGCTTGATATCAATGGAAATATCAAGCTTATTGATTTTGGATGTGCAAAACGACTTAAAAAGAATCAAAACACACATTCAGTTCGTCAGATACTCAAATCAATGAAAGGTTTGTTGAACACTGTTGCCGCTTATTTCTAAACTATAGTAACTAGTGGTTTGGCGAACGAGGGAGCTTCTCATTCACTCGGAAGATTTACCCAGGTTTTTCCAATGAAATCTTGAAAGTGGAAGTTTTTCGCGCTACAAGCGTGTCTCTCCACTAAAAATCTGGACGTATATTATCCATTTTTATTCTTTAGGTACGGCAAACTGGATGGCACCAGAAGTGATTTCTGAAACGGGTCATGGAAAGAAGGCAGATATCTGGAGTATTGGATGTACTATGTGTGAAATGGCAACGGGCAAACCTCCGTGGTCCGAGTATCAGAATCAATTAGCTGTTTTATTGATCATCGGCAACGGAACTCGGCCTCCGGCAGAATTACCTGATTCTTGTCCTCTGACAGCAAAGAATTTTTTCAAATCATGTCTAACACGAGATCCTAAACTGAGACCATCAGCTAAAGAATTATTACTTCATGCATTTCTAACTTGAAATTTCACCTTTAATCGTTCTTACACGTCAGTCTTCCAGTGGACTTGTCGCTCTTAGGAATTTGCACACCATACATAGCGAATCTGTGATAAAAGAATTTCTTTTATGTGTTATCTGAGTTTAATCAATTGTACTTGGTATATGTGTTTTCTATACTTCTTTTACTCTTTTTTTAATCAAAGTCAATTTTTAGAAGTTTTTTTTCTTTGATTTTTTATTTTGTTGTACAGACACAACTTAAGTAGAATAAGTCTTTAAAAAAATGATTATATAAATCATCTGAAATCGAGTCGACTTTGAAAAAGTTCTCGTATTTTGAAATCATTAGATTTTGAATCAAAACAAAACATTCATAGCATCTCGTCACCGTTAGTGACCATTGACTCGTCTCAAAATAGAAAAGATGACTTTGTCAGACGACTTCTATCTCGAAGTCTCAGTAGAGAACCGAACCGATAATGCGAGATTTTTCTCAATTAGTAATAAGGTATCAGGATATGAGATGCAAAGAAATTTCTTGTTATTTCTTAAGCCCATAACATATAATACTAATTTATCTTTATCCTCTCAAATATAGTGTGCTTGCCAAAGTTATTCTAAACAAATCATTAATACAAATCAGTGACGCTGATAAATGTATTTTAGTTTCTTTCACTCATACTACAGGGATTGAAACCATGATATCGCTGAACGACATAACTTGTAATCCTCTCGTTCATCTAATCATCAAAAAGTTTCAATACTAATTTAAAAGCTAATTGCAATGTGGGATAAACATCAAAATTCAGCGGCATGTCCCTTGTGACAAAATATCCAGTAAGGTTAAGAAAATTCAAAAGAGAAGCATTTTTATTTTTTCGATATTTATACATAGCTGGATAGAGCTTGACGAGCTGAATCCGAATATGTGTATTTTAACCTTTCGAATCAAAATTTTGATGTCGAAAATGTAAAAAGCCTGAAAATTTTAAAAAATAACTTAATTTTGAAAAACCAACATAAAACTCGAACACAATGTGTTTGGGAACCTTGGGAGCTTCTTATTCTTGTTCTCCATAAAAAACTAAATCTAAAAAGTAGTGTTTCGATACGATTCAAGTATGATATGATCTAAAAAATTTTAGGTTTTCAGCAATAGCCAAAATCTCGGTGGACAACTGTACGTCCAACGGTACTGAGATACACATTAATCAATTCAGTTTTTGATGCTGATTCCAAATATGGCATTGGTTTTGCAAAAGAAACGGAAGTTTGATGGTGAAAACTGCAAAATACAAATGAATTTCCTTGTTTTGTGCCATCTGTTTCAAAAAAATTAAACTTTCTCAACAACGAAACAATATTTTCCAAAACAGATGCTTAACTATTTTTTCGTGCTATTATGGCGAGTGGAATGATATAAAAATAATTGGCTTCATCTCCTATCTTGAGAGATTTGAAGCTTTTTGCGTCAACAGGATTAACAGAATTTTGGCTATTGGTGAAAACCTAAAATTTTTTAGATCATATTATACTTGTATCGTATCGAAACACTACTTTTTAGATTTAGTTTTTTACGGAGAACAAGAATAAGAAGCTCCCAAGGTTCCCAAACACATTGTGTTCGAGTTTTATGTTGGTTTTTCAAAATTAAGCTATTTTGTAAAATTTTCAGGTTCTTTACACTTTCGACATCAAAATTTTGATTCGAAAGGTTAAAATACACATATTCGGATTCAGCTCGTCAAGCTCTATCCAGCTATGTATAAATATCGAAAAAATAAAAATGTTCTCTTTTGAATTTCCTTAACCTTACAAACAACGGGAAGTAAAAAAACATCTGAATATTGAGGAGTATACGCAGAAATAAGCCTTTATTTGCAGCCAGATTATACAAGTACATATAAGTCACTTACCGTCAAATGTGTGTATATCTGTTCTTTTTCACTATTTTATAATCTATTAGATATTTTCTTATTCTATTTACACCACATTTAACATAGAATATGG